CCAGCAGTCTACAGACTGACCAACTCCATCTATCTCCACTCCATCCAGCAGTCTACAGACTGACCAACTCCATCTATCTCCACTATGCAATCAGTCAAAATTCAGCGCTATGTTTCCTGCTGAGGTCTGAGCACCAAAGACTAAAGTAATTGTATCAATAAAATTCTTCTAATTGTCTTTTTTTTTCTGTGTGAGTTTTTCAGATTGATCTCTAATTAGGTGAAGAGTAATAGGTGCCTCCATGCATTCCATGGAGGGCAGTCAATGCATTGAGAAGCAATGCAATGACTGCCCTCCTATCCTATGCTTATTGCTTATTTTCACGCCACCGGTGGAGCCGTCAGTGATTCTGTGCTAAAAAGGCCAAAAAGTAAAAGACAAAACAAAAAGCCTGGAAGAACCTGAGAGATCATCTTCTGTTCGCCATATTTTTAGCCTTTAATTCTGTCCTTTATTTATTTTTATCTTTGCTACTTATTTAACTGTTAAGTTTTAAAATGTACGATTTCTAATGATTATCAAAGAGATTTAAAATGCGTGATAATATTCTAATAAAAGCTAAAATTATCTGAGCTAAAGCCATAAGATAAGAAAATTCAAGGTTGACTAAACTAAACTATTACCTTGTCGATTCGTTCAAGTAGACAAAAGTATGAAATCTTATTTTTTATAAATTATTTACTCATTTATTATTGTGAATTCTGAACATAGACTTCCAGGTTTAGGCGTGTTTGAAACTATGAAAAAAAAAAAACTGATCAGAGAAATATCAGGAGGAAATATATAATGACCTCATTAAACATGAATTTATCATTTTTAGCGAATGATTTATACGCATAGGTAACTTTGAAAAGCCCCAAAAAAAAATCAGGATAATCAAAAAACATGTATATTTATATTCAAGGGCAGCAAGCAAATGATTGCATGTTGTCGACAACATGCAATCATTTAAAAACAAGGCTGCTTATTTGGCTACTGAATAAAGACCTATTTCTGAATTTCTGACATTTTGAATTGAAAAAGCTTCCTGGATGGGAAGCGAAACGTCTTCAAACTTGGAAACAAAGGCCTGTAGATTTTTTTCTTCTTTTTTTGGAATGAATATGACCTGGATGACTGAGAAACCAGCATAACCTGCACTTCTTCAGTTCAGCCTTCCTTTATTATAATATTGAAATCCAAGATTTTGCTGCAGATTAAAACTCAAAAGGTTAAAAATGCACCTTTGATCAGTCCAGTCAGTATTCAGCTGTCCTTTAACACACCAACAGTGTCCACTTTTTTCAACCGCCAAGGATGTTCATCTTCAGTTAAATCCTTTTTTTTATAATCTAACAATATATGAACTTTAAAACTAAAAAAAAAAATCATCTGTAGTTTCCAAAACTGTCTTTTGTCTGAAGTCCCCAAAATAAATCATCCACACCCAGAAACAACAGAGCTGGATGTTCTCCACCAAAGAACCTGCCGCTCTTCATTCCCTAATAAACAAACACATAGAGATAAAAACACATGTTAACATTAAACACAGGATTTCTGTAACACGCCATCATTTGGTAGAACAAATGTCACTTAGCATAATTACGATAATAAAAATGGCAGATTTAAAACCAGCAGGTTAGGCCTCCAAGCTTCCGTCTCTCTTCGTCACCGGTCCTTTGAGCCTTGCTTTAATGTTTTACAACTTCTTTTATTTTCCTTATTGGCACCAAACTGAAAAACGTGGATCAGCTCTGTGTTCGTATTAGGGCCAGGCTAGAGGTTGGTTTTTCTTCTATTACCAGAATAAACTGGAAACATTACCAGAATAAAGTTGGAAAATTACGAAAATAAAGTCATAAAATTATGAGTCATACAATTACGTGAATAAAGTTGAAAATTCTGAGAGTAAAGTTGTATAATTACGAGAACAAAGTCGTAACATTACAAGAATAAAGTTGGAAAATTACGAGAATAAAGTCGTAAAATTATGTGTTAAGTCGTAAAATTACGAGAATGAAATCATTAAATTACAAGAATAAAGTCGTAAAATTACGAGAACAAAGTCGTAACATTACAAGAATAAAGTTGGAAAATTACAACAATAAAGTGCAAAAATGACCAGAACAAAGTCGTAAAATTACGAGAATAAAGTCGTAAAATTACTAGAATAAAGTTGTAATATTAGTAGAATAAAGTTACCAGAAAATGACAAGAAGCATGTTGTATTTTGTATTTTATGCCAACTCTTCCCAGAATCCCTTTCTTCTGTAAAATGAGGAATGTGGAGCATCATGTGAAGTTCTACTTTAGCATCGGTTTGACAAATCAGGAAATCGTTTAGCAGCAGCATCAAACTGGGCAGGATGTCAAAGTGGACTCTGGTTGCTGATTGGTGGAGCTGCTCGGCCGTCATCTGATGGGCGGAGCTCCAAGCTTTCTTTCTGAAATGGGTTGTTGAATGATGATTTTATTCTGGTTATATTATAACTTTATTCTGTTAATGTTACAACTTCATTCTCGTAATTTTACGAATTTATTCTCAAAATAGAAGAACAAATATACCTCTAGCCTGGTCCTAATACTCCATCGTAGTGCTGTATGTATATTGTTTGGAAAAAAGATTAAATATTTTTATGGTATGGTTCGGGACAAATATAAGTTTTGATTTCCAAAACAAAACAAAAAAAACAGCTCCCTTTGACAACACTTTGGGGCAGGCTTTTAGTTAGGAATATATCATAGGGCGTACACCTTGGTGTATAACATCTTCAGGCTTCGTGCAGTGCAGGGGGGTCTGGGGGTCTCCTCCCCTGGAAAATTCAGAAATTTAGACTGGAATGCAGCTAACTTTTTGTCTTTACTCTAATTTTACTTTTGTCCTGTTTGTGGGTAGTATATATGCTTGAACAGAGGTGGAAATTTCATAAGGAAGAAATGAGATTATTTTCAGGTCCAGTTTTATGGTTTTTCGGCCAATTCAAACAATCAGAAAGTCTAATTCACACCGAACATGCTTTGAGCATCAAAAGAAATTCTGCTGCGTCATTTCTGATGCACATTAAGGTCAGCCGTCCAGTAAATTGCATCCAGATGCTTCTGCTGCTCCTGTGTTCGATGCCAGAGAGCAGCTTTGCTATATTAGCTGTGATCAGCGGGTAGAAAGTAGTTAGAATCTATGTTGAAGTGAGAAAGTCCTCCTGAAAACATGGTCTGGGCAGTCAGTTCACCAGATTACCA